CATTGATTAATATAGCTTTCGAAATTCTCCCTCCCAAATATTTTCGAGTTGAATATTAACAAAGTTTAGATGTAATATTGTAGAGGGAATAATACTTCAAACAAGAGTACTCTGATTGATTGTATTTAAAAAAAAGGGAAAATTGCAAAAATCACCCATCAACTAGGGGTTGGTAACAATCTATAAATGGTTTGTGCATTTTGTTATATTTAAGGGTTTAATTCCAACAATTTTATAAGTTTAGGTGACCCGCCACAAGGATCAGCTGCTGGCGGAACTAGCTATCCTTGACACCCAAGAAGAGGAGGGATCCATCCCATCGGTGCAAATTTCACAGAGGGTCTCTCTAAAAGAACAGCTTCACTCATTAGCCATAATGGAAGAAGATCATTGAAGACAACGATGTAAGTTAAGGTGGCTCAAAGAGGGTGATATGAACACTGGCTTCTTTCATAGAGTGGTGGCTGCCAGACGCAGGAAAAGCTCCATTATTGAGCTCCTATCTCGGGATGGCAAAAGCTTGGTTAATGACACAGAGATTGAGCTAGAGTTCCTATCTTTGTATTCCAAAAAAGAGGGCACTAGATTCCTGCCACATCCTATCAACTGGGACACCATTACACAGCAACAATCTTCCCTCCTCGAAGCACCCTTCCTTGAGACAGAGGTTTGGCAAGCTATTAAGGACCTAGGCACCAATAAAACCCCTGGACCCAACGGATTCATTGCCAAATTCTTTAAAAAATATTAGAACATACTCAAACCTGTTATTATGAGAGTGTTCCAAGATTTTTTCAAGAATGGCATCATTAATGCGAGTCTTAACAAAAAAGGTTGATGCAAGAACAGTTAGTGACTACCGCCAATTAGTTTGACTTCATGTATGTACAAGATCATTGCAAGAGGCCTTTCTGAGAGGCTTAAGAGGGTCCTTCCACACACAATTTCTGCCTCACAATCGGCTTTTGTAGACAACAGACAGATTCTGGATGCCTCCTTGATTGCTAATGAGATCATCGACACATGGACTAGGAAAAAGGATATTGGGGTTGTCATCAAGCTTGATATTGAAAAAGCTTTTGACAAGGTAGATTGGGACTTCCTCGACGGTATTCTTTTGGCTAAAGGCTTCAGTACAACTTGGAGAAAATGGATTAGAGGCTGCATCTCTTCGGCAAACTTCTCTATCATCATAAACGGGCGACCTAAGGGCAAAATCAAGGCTTCTAGGGCTTAAGGCAAGGTGACCCTCTCTCACCCTTCCTTTTCATCCTTGTGGTTAATTATTTTAGCAGGATTTTGTCCCAAGCAGCAGCTTTCAATTGAAGGCTTTGAGGTTGGCAGTCCTCCCATTAGAGTCACGCATCTTCAATTTGCTGATGATACCCTCCTCTTCTCTACTTTGAATGACAACAAACTCAAGAATTTATTCAATTTTATCAAGGTTTTCTGGATTGAACTCCAACCTACAAAAAACAGAGATATTGGGCATCAACTTGGAAGATAGTGTTTTAGAATATTTGGCCAACAGATTTCACTGCAGAAAAGGGTCTTGGCCCAACACCTACCTCGGGTTCCCTCTTAATGGCAATCCTCGATCCCCATCCTTTTGGGATCCCGTCTAGGAGAAAATCAAAAAAAGACTTTCCTCATGGGAGCATACAAATATATCCAAGGGAGGTAGACTCACCCTTATCAATGCCACACTCTCCAATCTCCCCATATACTTCCTCTCTCTTTTCTTGATGCCCTCGAGGTTGCCATTGAGCTTGATAGGACCGTTCGGAATTTTCTTTGGAAGGGGACATTGGACAAGCGGGGACAAAATCTTGTTAGATGGGATATTGTACCGCAGCCTTTGGACTTTGGTGGTCCTGGAATCATAAGCTTCAAAGCCAAAAACACAACCCTCTTAGCTAAATGGAATTGGAGATACCTTACAGAGGAAACAGCTCTATGGAGGCGGTTGATACAAGCAAAATACTCCATTTATGATACCCACAATGCCCTACACTCCCGCTCTCTCGCTGCTGCTAGGGGTCCTTGGAGAGACATTTCCAAGCATAAATCTCTAATCTTGGATAGAATCCCAACCGCGGGTCCTTGGAGAGACATTTCCAAGCATAAATCTCTAATCTTGTGATTACCGGTTGGGAGATGGCTCTCTCCCTCTGTTTTGGGAAGACACATGGGTCAATGAAGAACCTTTATGTCGAACTTACCCCCTCCTTTTTGCTCTTCATACCAGGAAACATGCCCATGTTCGGGACTTTTGGTCTCTTGAAACCAAATCTTGGAATTTACGCTTTCGCAGAAACCTCAAGGACGCGGAGATTGTTGAGTTGGCTGCCCTTTCACACTGCCTTTCCTCAAAGCAACCATCTATGAATAGGGACTCCATTGCTTGGAGACCGGAATCCCATGGATCCTTCACTACCAGCTCCCTCATCAAAGACCTCCAAAGCATCAACACATCATCTACTCCACCGGATCTTTATAGAGCAATTTGGAAGGAATCCTACCCAAAGAAGATTTTCTTCCTATGGGAAGCTAGCCACCAAGCATTGAATACTCACGACAAACTACAACGACGCATGCCATATATGGTCTTATCTCCACAATGGTGCCCTCTATGCAAGCAACACAGTGAGTCCATCGGACATGTATTCCTCACATGCCCCTACACAGCAACTCTTTGGAACAAACTCTTACCACTCTTTGGATGGTCGGCCGCCCTCCCCACCAATATGTCTCAACTGCTTGCTTCGACTCTTGTGGGGCCACCCATTCAAGAAAGAAAAAGCCAGCCTTTGGATCCACTTCATTCGGGCTCTTCTTTGGACTACATGGAATGAACGGAACCGTCGAATCTTCCAAGATTTGGAGCGCACACCACATGCCACTTTTGAATCCATTGTTTTTTTGGTCGGTGTAAATGCTCCCCCCTCTTCCACTCGTATAGCTTTGCCTCCTTATTGACAAATTGGAGAGCTTTTTTGTAACCCGCTTGTGGGTTCTCATTCTTTTTTGTAATCATTTCTCCCTCCTTTTGTCATTATATCAATGAAATTGTTCGTTTCCAAAAAAAGTTTAGGGGGCACGTAATCGGACTGCTACTGCAAAAGTATGATTGTAACAACTCCTAAAATCCTGGGGTGGTTTTTGCAAATTTTCCTTCAAAAGAAAATAATCAGGTATCACATTATCTTGTAGCTAGTTTACCTAAATGTTCGTTGAACTGCTTCTCCTGTAATTGCATTAGTAGATGTGTAACTGTTTTCCCCTCTTATTACAACACGGGTCGTGGCAATTGCATCAATGCCTTCAGTGACAGCGTTCATCGAATACTCAAGAAGTGCAACTGGTTCCTGCATTAAAAAAATTGATAACTCTTCTACAGTCAGATTCACTCAAGGAAGACACACCTGACCACCAGCAAGGAATTTAAAGCAAGAAGACAACATCATAGTTAATCATTCAGAATAGCACAGAACTAGACATGCATGCAAAGGACATGAAAGCCTGGTTTATCGATCATGACGACTTTATGTTATAACTTAGGTTAAATTAAGTTCAGTCTTCAAATTTTGCATCGAATAAGGCTTTGAATTTCCAACTTTGTGTCTAATACGTCCATGAAATTTTTATAAAAAATGTTGAATAAGACACAAAATTAAAAAATGTTGAATACGACACAAAATTGAAAGTTCAAAAACCTATTACCTATTAAACACTTTTAATATTCAGGGACTTATTAGACAGAACCCAAAAATTCATGTAATTTAACATAAAACAAATTATCTAAGATATCCCAGTTTGACTATACCAGGAAATCTTCCTGAAAGTACATTCCAGATGTAATGGAAAATATAAAAAGTTAGATAGCAGTTTCTCCTATACAAACCTTCACAATGCCATCTACAGCCTTGTAAGCTGAATCTACAGGCCCCGTTCCAACAGCACAATTAGTATGCTCTTTACCATCAGCATTGAGGAGTTTAACGGTAGCCGTAGAAAGACCAAGAGTTCCACAGGTTACCTGCATTTGAGGTATTGTCAAAATGATGCAATACGTGTATTTAAAAGTAGGTCCAAACAACTTCCCAAATATAATGGTCTACAAAATTTAAACCTGCAAATCTAGCAGCTTCCAGACAACACTTGGTTGAAAAACTTCATCGGATACCAATGCTCGAAGATCAGCATCTGTTACTCTCTGGAATGTCAGATAAATTAGAGCAAAAGAATTTAGATAAAAAAATCTGATTTTTTTCTTTTTTTTACAAGTTTAAAAGGAGTGCAACACATAGACTTCCCAAGTAGACACCTAATTTAGTACTACTCTCGTCTAAACACGCTTAACTATAGAGTTCTGATGGGATCATGCATTCATTGGTATGATTCCACCCAAAGTAGAATCCTTTTTGGTATTTACTAATATGTGCAGAGGCAGTAGAATCCTTTTTGGTATTTACTAATATGTGCAGAGGCAGGGGAGGGAATAGCTCAGCATAACAGAGAGGGACACAATTTCAAGTTACCTTCTTTTGTTCAGCTACTGCTTTGAAACGCCAGAATATGTTGTCAAGATTCTCATTGTCAAGCTCATAACCAAGCTGAAAAAATGAGATATGACGTTAACATATTGCCAGAAAGGAAGACATAACCATTGAGCTTGAAGATTCCAATTTACCTCTTGAAGTCGACTTTTAAGGGCATGGCGTCCACTGGAAAAATTGTCAAAATGAACCATGTTAGCGGGTGGTATATTTCGGACCAGATACAAGGAGTGAAACTATAAACAAAAGGAAGTTAATCCTGTTAATGTTGTAACAAAATAATTTCAAGTTTTAACGCCACGATAGAATGGCTACAGATGTTTTCATTTCTCCTGTCCCAGATAAACTACTTCAGCTCCCTAGGTACAGCTGCATCATTGTTTGTACCCAACTATAGGATATTTTACAGCTAAAAGGGGCCAATTTTTCCATTTGTATTCAAATATTCTTGAAATTAATCTGACCTCGAATTTATGAAAATGCCTTACAAATTATGCACGTTCGCGCATGATAACTTCTTCAACCTCCTCTTCTCTGTACTTATTCTTAAGTAATTAAACATACCACCAATGTTTTTTTTTTACAAGATACGAACTTTTCAACCAGAGATGGAAAGGAACAATATTGTTCAATGATACAAGCTCTGAAAGGAGTGAAAAAGAGAAAACAAAAATAACATCAAACTAGAAAGGAGTTATAAATGCCCCCAAATTCATACTAAATCATACTAGGAGGGTAGGAAGAGAAAAGATCGGAAAGAGCACACTATTGATATGCTTTGAATTTGGCGAGATTAAAACATTCCAAGGATGAATGACCAGAATCTTCAAAAACCTTTTGGTTCCTCTCGAACCATAATTCTAAAATAATTGCCTTGAAACCATTAATCCAAAGAAGGTTAGATTTAGATGGAAAATTAGCTCCACTTAGGATCTGAATGATGTTGCTTGTAGCCTCACGATCCCAAACCCAAGCCAAATTGAACTGGAAGAAGAAACTCCAACGAGCTAAAGCAAATGGACAGAAGAAGAAAACGTGACTCAAAAGCTCACCTTGTTCAGCACACATCAAACATATGGATGGCTGCAAGGCCATTTTAGGAGACTTCCGTTGGAGAACCTCGGAAGTATTAACCTTACCATATAGAAGAAACCAAACTAACAAATTCACCCATTTAGGACTGCCCGGACTCCAAAGAGAGGAGAAAAAGGCTTTTGAAAGATGCAAATCAGCCCTGCCAAGCTTACATAGAGAATTTACTGAAAAGAGTCCTGAATTTTCCAAACTCCAACAACGAGAATCACCTTCCTCCGAAAGAACAGTCAAAGAAATATAAGATAATAACTCTGACAAAACTGTAATCTCTTCATCTTTCAGCGACCTTTTGTTACTATATTCCAAGAAGAAGACCTCCTATCCCAAGCATCCCAAACAAAGATAGAGGGAGAAGCAGAGATACTAAAAATAGAGGGAAACCATTGATGAGAATCCCCAATCTACTCTGTTGCAGGATCTCTGTGTTAATGGACTTGAATGAGTAGAATCAGAAAGTTCTCCCAGTGCTGGCCTCTTGCTAGATTTTCCTTTGATCATGGTCCCCAGCCTACTAGATTCTAATCCTTTTAGTTGAGATACTTGCCCTCCAGAAAGCACAAAAACTCTAGTTGGGAAACTGTCCGAAATTTACACCTCAGACACTTGAAATGTCACAGAAACACACTACATATATTAAGGAAACCTTTCTTAAGAGAGAATGGTGAAAATAATTTTTATACACACTAAAATATTAGTTATTAAATAAATCATAGATGCTAAACTATTTAAGAAGGTACCAAACCAAAATATATACACTTAGAAAGCTAAGAGAGAAAAGAAATGCACTAGTATGTCTGTACATGTATCAATACCAAACTTTAAAAGGCATAATTAGCTTCACGGCACCCACTGTTAGGGATCCGGTGCACTAAGTAAGGTACACGGCACGATTTTTTGGGTATTTTCAATTGTAAAGAAAAAAGTTGCTTCATTGCTTTTTTTTATATTCGTGAGTGTCCGGACCAGCTTACATGCACCTCGACTAATCTCACGGGACAGCCGCCTCTGACCCTACTTGGTGCCAGGAAATACATAAGAGTTAATTCCTAAGGTAGGTGGTTATCATGGGGTTTGAACCCATTCCCTCTCAATTTACCCTATCCCCTTTGGACCAATAAGCCACCCATGATACTTTGCTTCATAGCATTTTTAAACAATCTCTTCCTTCTTTTTTCTGCAGCTCATGAGGAACACCTAATTTTTTTTTTTTTTAATANAGAAAGTTTTCGCAGTGCTGGCCTCTTGCTACGTTTTCCTTTGATCATGGTCCCCAGCCTACTAGATTCTAATCCTTTTAGTTGAGGTACTTGCCCTCCAGAAAGCACAAAAATTCTATTTTGAAAACTGTCCGAAATTTACACCTCAGACACTTGGAATGTCACTGAAACACACTCAATATTTTAATGAAACCTTTCTTAAGAGAAGGGTGAAAATAATTTTTATATACACACTAAAATATTAATTATTAAATAAATCATAGATGCTAAACTATTTAAGGTACCAAACCAAAATATATACACTTARAAAGCTAGGAGAGAAGAAAGGAACGTGTATGTCCGTACATATATAAAGTGACAATACCAAACCTTAAAAGGCATAATTAGCAGCTGCAAGGCACCCGCCCTTAGGGGGCTTGCCTCCTCTGAGGCAAGGTGAACTCAGTAAGGTACACAGCACGATTTTTTGGGTATTTTCAATTGTTCCCTTCTTTATTATAAAAGGAAAAAAGTTGCTGCATAGTATTTTTAAACAATCTCTTAGGTAAAGCCCCGATATTATATTTTTCACATACTTTTTTCTAATTTTCATATGGTCTGCTGCTGTTCACTCCCCCCACCTTTTTTTGGCCCTCATGCGGAGCCCCTAATAAACAACCCCCGAAATAGCCTCAAAATAAATCCCAGCGAACAACTGCACTAAATACTACTTCTTCTAACCAGGCACAGACATGCTCTAAATACTTCTTCTTCTAACCAGGCACAGACATGCTTACACACACATAGAGAGATGGGAAAGGGGAGGCAGGGGAGGTAGGTAGGGAGATTTTGTCAAGATAAAAGCACTATTGTCATTTTCCATAAAGCAACATGGAATACCTAAGTTTTCCTAGAACAATACCAGCATCATTGGATCGTTCGTAGCCAATGTCTTCAGGGGATATGATTTCATAAGTACCTTTGTGCTTAAGCATCCCATCCTGTGTAACAAAAGCAATATTTAAGATACAATTTGAGCGTAACAAAACAGGATAAACAGTCACCCACATGGCTCAAACAAAAATAGTAATAATTATTAAAAACATAGAACAAGAGCCAATCAATATTTTCATTATGAACTTTACGGCAAGACTATGCATCAAAATAGTTAAAAGAGTCCTCCATTTTTATAAGAGAACGTAGCTGCTCTATAACAATCATGTAACTCCTCRGACAGTAATTAGTAATGAACAACTGGTTCTTTATGAACAATTAAATACATTCTATGGCCCCAAAAATACCTGTCACCTGATGACTCAAGTACAAGAATAATGGAGGCCAGGATGAAACTACAAGATACAACCAGCTGCATCTTGTATTCAACTAGGCTTTGGATGAAGAGGATCGGTCTTAAGTGCTATGCCACCCTTTCAAGCAAAAGACTACAAGTATATAGAGCGCTCAGCTTGAAAGGAATWGGAAAATTTTCTTACAGATTGGATAGAAATTTTAACACTATATAGGARGACACTGTTTTCTTCCTTTCTCTTGGAGTGCTTTAGAAGGTGTTTCACACTCTCTCATCGTTCTCCCGAATTGAGGAGAATCCAATGTAATCTCCATCACCTCATAGGGAAAGAAYCATCTTCCCTTACTGTCCTTCTGTACCTCTGTTTCTTGAATTTGACAATCTAAAAAAAGAAATTTTTTTCAATTAACTCACAGGGTAGAGTTGAATTAAAGGAAAAAATGGCGAACTGTTTTCTTTAAATGTGTTTAAAGCAATAAACACTGATGCTAGAACCTTGACATAGTCAGCTATGAGAGTATATTTGGAAGCTTTCACATCACGCTGGATTTTGAAAGATAAATATGAAAACACGTCATAATAGTTAGCCATGAACAACAAAACCTAGCATATCAAGATCTAACAAGTCTAACCTGGTGGATGCCACTTTCATGAGCAAAAGCATTAGCTCCAACAATAGCCTTGTGCGGTTGTACATTCAAGCCAGTATATTCTTCTACCTAAGGAATAAGTCTGTCTGTAAGTAGCCTTTATTAATAAGAAATATGGATGTTGAAACTTGAATAGAAAAATTGAAAGTGAACTAGGCGAAGAGAGAACTAGAACCAGAAATCTGTCGTTAGTTCAAAATCTGAAGTACACTAAACCCCAAGAAAAAAAAAACCAAAAACAGATCTAACTAACAGATTTTAAAAAGAAACAATAGTCATGAGAAAAATAAAAAATAAATAGGACTTTGGACATCGATAGCTAGTTCAAAACATTAAACCTCTCTCAACCACCCCCCAAAAAAATAAACGAAAGAAAGAAACACTCTTCCCATCCTCAAAAACTTTGCCCCTTAGTCTCTTTCCAAGTCTTTCAAAGAGGAGCTAGAAGCGAGAACAAAACTGTCTAGCTTTCAAGTTCAACCTAGAGCCACACACAACTTGCAACAGAAAATATCCTGCCCTATGGAACGTTTAACTTTGTACGTTAAAAAAATATATATGACGAGAATAATTTAAAAAAAAAATAACTCGAGTTTTAATAAGCTTTTCTTTGTAAGAAAACAATTACCATCTTGCTAGTCAGAAAGATATGTCTTGAGTTAATTCCAGAATGAAGACCTCCAAGCACATGCTCTCCACGACATTGTAAGGCCATTACCACCTGAAGATATAAAAATATGGTTTAAAAGAAGAAAATAGATGTATGTCATTTAAGAAGTCTACCTACACATTAGGAATGTTTACATGTGAATGCAAACAGATGTTCTCAAAACAATTCAACCGTACCGTGCATTCAATCACATGTAACTCATAAAGGAAAACGGTTGTATAAAAAAAAATTAGATAACAGTTGTATTAAATTGACACTATTTCACTAAATTTAATATTCATCCTCTTTTACATACAAGAAATAATAGTATTGTAGAATGACGGATAGACTATTTATCCTCAGATATGTCCATGAAATAAAATAAAAGAAAAACTCTAGTAAAACAAAGTTAAAACAACTTTGATAAGTTATTACCTATAATATTCAAAAATAGATACTTCAAGCAAAAGACACTCCAAGTTTATGGGAAAGTTCAACACCTCCATCAGTCAGGTTGGGCTCATAGATGTAGCTCTTTCCGATGGAAGGGTAACTTGGTCCGATTTCAGATACTCGCCTACACTAATYCTCATTGACCATTTCCTCTATTAGAGTCCATCATCACCAAATTMTCTTAAGCATCGGTTAAGAAAAGCTTGAGAGTACAACCTCGGACCATTATCCTATAATGTTGACAATTGGTATCCACAATTTCTGGTGGAAAAACAACCCCCTTAGAGGATGGCTTGGACGTGGTTTTATTGAGAAGCTCAAAGGTCAGAAAAAAGCTATAGAAACCTTRGAAACCCACAAGGAATACTTGTTATAGCCTACAATGATTGGAAAGCTGCAATTGTTAAAAAAGCGTACTATCCAAAGGTTGAAAAAAGTGTTGTCGAGTATCATCATAGAATATCAATAAGCTTTTGTTGCTGAAGGCAAATTCTAGACACATCCCTTATAGGCAATGAAATAATTGACAAATGCTTTAGAAAAAAGAAAAATGGAGTGGTTATAAAGCTTGACTTGTATTAGAGTATAGATATTAGTATATTTTATATTATTGTATTAATATTAATTTGTCCTTTACCTTCTCCTTATAGGATTAGGTCAACTTTGTATATTTGTCTATAGATATAGACTTTAATAATGAGAATACATTACATTGGATTCTCTCCAACCTTAGTCTCTATATGGTATCAGAGCTCTAGGTTTCTTCTAAACTTTTTGTGCCCTGCCCATTAGGGTTTTGTGCCCATTAGGGTTTTGTGCCCATTAGGGGTTTTGTGCCCATTAGGATTTTGTGCCCATTAGGATTTTGTGCCTTAGGGTTTTGTTCATTGCTATCCAACACAACTCGCCGCCGCTGCCGCCGACCGTCGACGTTTGCTGATTCGCCAGCACTGCTGTTTTCCGATTGTTGTTCATGGGTTTCGTCTCGTCGCCAATCATCGTCGCCACCCGTCGCCTTCGCCCCTCTGGTTCTCGTGGGGTAGCACTTAGGGTTTTTGGGTTCAGAAAACACCTAATTCGGTTTGGTTCCAGCAATTTGATTCATCTRTTTTGTTTGGTTCGGGTGGTTTGGTCTGGTTCTGTCGTTTTGTTCAAATAAGTTCGTTTGTTTGTTATGGCTGAGAAGAAATCAATCGTAACTTCTGAGGTGATCCCAATGATATCAAAAATCACAGNAAAAGGCAAGAACAACCTAAAGGCAGAAGGTAGAGAGAACCCTCCCCAAAGAGAACTATACAATCGCATTCTTCCAATCCTGTAAAATCAAAAAAAGACGGTAGTTTCCAAAAGCCTTCTTGTGGATTGTGGCCCACCAAGAAGTTGTATGCTTTGTATTCACACAAAAAGAATCTAAAGGGATTGATTTGTCCTCAAAAAGTCTACTATTTCTCTCTTTCCAAAGATGCCAAAGAAGAGCCCTCGCTGCACAATGCCATAGGACCGCAGCTTTGCCTTTGAGCGTCACTCCACCAAATCCTTCCACCATGAAGTCATCTATATGTTTAGGAAGACAGAAGGAAAAATCCAAAAGTGAAGCCATATACTTCCAAGCCCGAGTGGCAAAATAACAGTGGATGAAAATATGATCCACCGAGTCTGAATTTCTTAGGCAGAGACCACAAACCGAAGTGGAGAGCATCCAATGGGGGAGCTTTCTTTGTATTCTCTTGGCTGTGTTTATGCTCCTATAAAAGAGAGTCCCATAGGAAAATTTTCACCTTTTTTAGAACCCTAAAATTCCAAATCATAGAAGTTGTGGTCGTGTTCAATTTAGGGGAAGGAGCCGTCAAAGCTATAAAAGCTGATTTCGCTGTGAAACAACCTTTACTATCTGCCTTCCACCATAATCGATCCTTGCCTTGGCCCGGAACCATACCTTCTAATTTATCAATGAAAGACGCCCAACTATCGATCTCCCTATCAAAAAGATTCCTTCTCAACCCGATATCCCAAGTTGAAGCCTCGGTAACCCAGCAAGCTACCACATAATGGTTCTTTTTAGTGGAAAGGCTGTACAAATCAGGGAACAAAGAAGAAAAGGGGGAAGGATCAATCCATCTATCCTCCCAAAATCTCACTGCCCCTTGAAACTTTAAAAACAGTGAGCTTTGTGAAGGCCTCTAGGTCGTTCTGTATATCTATCCAAGGTCTTCCAATAGAAGACCCTTGTAAAGGCAAAGGCATCCAACCATGTGAATCCTCCCCATAAATGGAAGCTATCACCTTCCTCCAAAAACTATTTTTTTCCATTGCAAAGCGCCAAAGCCATTTCATGAGAAGAGCTTTATTCCTTAATCCAAGGGAACCAATACTGAGACCCCCCTGTTTGTGAGGCAAGGCAGTCCATGACCATTTCACAAGATTTCCAATTGGTCTATGTCTTCCACCATTCCAAATGAAGTCTCGCATGAGATTCTCCATGGTCGAAATCACCGACTTAGGAGCTTTTAGGATTGAAAAAAAGTATATCAGGATGCTGTTCAAAATTGCTTGTGCTAGAGTTAATCGACCCCCCTTTGATAGCAACAAAGATCTCCATTTTCCTAGTCTCTTGTGCATTTTGTCCACCACTGCTTCCCTGGCATTCTATGATTTCCTCCCAGAGGGAAACCAAGATAGGAGAAGGAAAAGAATTCTGCCTTACACCTGAAAATAGAGGCCCAGAAATTCACATCTGCCTCACTGCAATTAATTCCTATCACTGCTGTTTTAGCAACATTCAATGAAAGCCCCATCATAGAAAGGAAAATTTGAATCAGACCCCACCAATTTTCCATCATCTTAGGTGAATAAGGGCTAAAAATCAGTACATCGWCTGCATACTGAAGGTGTGTTACCTCTATAGAATTTTGGCCTACAGTGATACCTTTTAGGATGTTCCATTCGTAGAAAAAATGAACTAACCTACTGAAGGCATCTCCCACTATGGTGAAAAGAAAGGGAGAGAGAGGATCTCCCCATCTAAGACCCCTCTTTGCCAAAATCTTCCCTCTAGGTCTTCCGTTTACAATAACAGAGAAGTTTGTGGTCAAGAGACAGCCCCAAATCCACATTCGCCATCTGACACCAAAGCCTTTCGCCTGAAGTGCTACATATAAGAAAGACCAATCGACCTTATTATAAGCCTTCTCAAAATCAAGTTTTAAGAGATAGCCTGACTCCAACATTCATTAATTTCTCCCCTTGTAGAAAAATGGTGGTAAAACAACCCCCTTAAGAGGATGGCTTGAACATGGTTTTATTGAGAAGTAACCTTAAAAACCCACAAGAAATTCTTTTGTAATTATAGCCTACAATGATTGGAAAGCTGCAATTGTTTAGAGTTTGGGGGAGGATGATCTCTACCCTCTGTCCTTGGGTTGTCCTTTTGTTGGTTCTTTAAATATATTGTTATTTTTCTAAGAAAAAAAAAGCTACAAAAACCTAGAAAGAATACAGAAACCTTCGAATGCATCTTGACATAAAAGGTTGCACAGCAAAGTGAGCTTCATCACATAAATTCTGCAGAGGAAATTGGCTTTTTATCTAAGGAACAAATTGATAAGCAATCCTCTATTAAAGCAAAATTCTTGGCCCCGACAGCAAAGGAGGAAAAAATTCTTTGCAGTTGGAAATGCAAGGCCAAATCGCAAATAGAAGTGGTCATCTCTTTTTAGACAGTTCAAGATTGATTGGGTTTTCAATTAAAAGCTGAAGACAACTTGGTGCAGTTGTTGTGTGGGGGATATTCACGCTCCTCTTCTACGGCTCGGCTGTTATGGATTAATGCGGTTAAAAGCTTCCTCAGAATTATGGTTTGAGCGGAACACAAGGCTCTTTCAACACAAGCGAAGATCTTTGTTCGATTGTCTCAATTCATCTAAATTTAAGGCCTCTCATCGGTGTTCTTTGGCGGATTCCTTTTCTCATTATTCCTTCTGTTATTTTTAATAATTGGGGTGTTTTCATTAGTCCAGAGTAGTTCTTGTAGTTTTTAGATTTCCTTGTTTGTTATGTCTTTCTAATCTTTTCTTTTCTCTTATTTTGTATTTTCACTCTTTTGAAAGTTTGTATCCTTGAACAATTTTGTTCCTTTTCATTTCATCAATGAAAGTTCGTATCTTGTTAAAAAAGAAAAAACAAAACACAGGGTTCTTCCATCGATACATGGCTGCAAATTGAAAGAACACAATTTCTGAGATCTTATCTAGCCAAGGTACCAACCTTTTACATGAAGATGATATTGGGGACGAATTCATCAGCTTTTACAAAAATCTCCTTAACAGAAAAGATGGAGCCAGGTTCCTACCAACATCCATCGACTTGGATTCCATCTCTCCTTCACAAAATCTAGCCTTGGAAGCCCCCCTTCACAGAAGATAAATTTGGCATGTCATACAAGCTCTGGGCACGAACAAATCTCCTGGACCAGATTGAATTCTTCAAAAAAATCTTGGAACATCCTCAAGACCAATATGTTGAACTTTGAAGGTGTTCTAGGATTTTTTTAAAAATGCTGTTATTAATGCTAACCTTAGTGAAACTTATACTTGCTTGATTCCAAAGGTGGATGCTAGAAT